ACTGTAGCTGTTACATAATCCAAGAACTGGTGTTTGTTCCTACACATCAGGATAAAATATTTATTAAATGCCCCCATCATTGTTATATATCATAAACTAAAAGACATGAAAATACTCCGGTAGCTAAGTCAACGTCAATATGAAGCAGCTACTCTACATAAACAGATCCAGCTTGCACTATGACTTATTACATTTTCAGTAACAGTAACAGACCTTCCACTTAACTTGGTTATTACTTGTGGTCATTAGTTTCACACAAGGTATTCCTCTCATCTCAAGGAAATCATATATAATGTTTTTAGTTTGTTTGTGTTAATCCATATAAATCACTGAGTTTAAAACATAGGTCATAATTTAATGAACTGGGTCAAAGTATATGTAGCTATTACTGTTGGCATATTTCTCTGTTTCTCAGAAATTAATTTGAAACTGACAGTTGCATCTCAGCACATGATTTCTCTTACAGCCTAGAAGAATTACCTAGCTCCTGGGGGTCTCCGTTACCAATAGGAAGCAAAGAGTCATGAAGAAGAACAGGAATTAATAGTAACATTCAGTTTATTCTTAATTACCTATGCCAATGGAGACAAAGAGTGGAACAGATCATTCACACACAATAAAAGAGATTACAAGTGTCTGTTGTACTTGGCTGTGCAATGTGTGCATCCTTAGACATGGGGAAATATGCTTTCACAAGTCACAATATTCCAAACCAAATAATGATTTCCCCTTGAACAAGTATCTTGGACAAAGCTAGATACCTGCTCTTCACACTGAGATACTTTTATTCTTTCCAATAACAACTATCTATTTAGTGTCTATCTTGATCTTAGTACTGTGCTAAGCACCATTCCTTCTGAAAATACTCCCTGACCTAGATACGGTGTTGATCTAACTATAGCACTCCAGATTGGGAAAAAAGGAGAAACAAAGAATAAATGTTTAAATTGCCACTTTCTTATGATTATGCTTGAATGTAAAAAGACAATAGCAATTTTCACAAACCTCAAATTAGTTCTTGAGGTTTCAGGAATGCCAGCTTAGAGTATAAGAATCAAAAAAGAAGGTTTAAAACAAAAATCCACAGGAGAGACTTAATATTCTCCAGACCTCAGGATTTAGCAGTAGACATATTCATTAGTAACAAAGGATTGAGAATACAAGGGATTACTACATAAGGGCCATGCAAAACATCAATAAAATAACCTAACAAAGCTTAGCTTGACTCTTACTTTTGATATGGTAATATATGATCTAACTATAGATCCTGCAATGTAACCCATGATCCATGTTAGAGAAGAAAGTATTGCAGACCAGGGTTGTTCTTCAAATCGATAACCACTCATTCATACAAATACTTAGTGCCTACTATGTTCCAAGACCTACTCTGAATATTAGGAATGGAGCAGGGAACAAGACAGATCATGACCTTACTTGCCTGGAGTTTATACTCTAGTGAAAGGAAAAAGACCATAGAACTTTTATATATAACATATTATACAGGGACAAATGCAATGGGATAACATAAAGCACAGGATGAGGGCACAGGGAATGCTATTTTATACTGGGTAACAGAAAAAGCCTCAGAAAGAAGGGGATGATTAAGCAAAAGCCTAAAGGAAGTGGAACTGATGTAGCAAGCCCTCAGGTGGCTGGAGGAAGAGCCTTCCAGGATAAAGAGAACAGAGTGTGTCAAGGTCCTAAGGAAACAGCAGGTTTGGCATATTCAAGAAACAAAGAGGCCCCTGAGGTTGAAATGTAGTCAGGGGGGCAGGCATGGAAGGAACAGAAAGACCAAGGCCAGATCACGTAGGGGCTGTTGGACATTGTAAGTACTTCACTCTCAGTGAGATGGAAAGACAACGGGGCATTTGAAATGTACTGACGTGATCTTTCTTGTTGAATGATTGCTTGGACAACTGCACTAAAAATATAACTGTAGTTGATCAAGGGAGGCAATTAAAATAATTGAGGGAGAAGGGGTGGCTTGTAGAAGAGTGGTAATAGTGGAGGTGTTGAGAATTGGTCAGTGGCTAGACATATTTTCAAGTCAAACTGACAAGGTTTGC